ACATTTTAATATGCAGTCTCAGTTATTCATTTTTTCAATATTGTGAAAGCTTTAAAGTAATTCAAAGTGAAATCACAAAAAAATCTTAAGCCTCAACGTTTTCACACAGCATATGTGTCATCATTCAGCTCTATATTTATTTTGTACAATATATTTTAATATGTGCGATTAAATTTTATTCATAATACAATTTTTTAGAACTGATGGTAGTGACACACACACTGTTGAAACCTACAGAGTATAAATGAAAATCCCAAGAAAAGCTCTAAAAGTCGATCAAAAAAATATAAATATATGAATATATACGAGGGTGGTCGCTCAAATACAAAATGGCATGAAATAAACATACGCATTAGAGTGGGTCGATTTGTATGGGTCAAAAAAAGTCGCTTAGGCACATATGATTTTTGGATACTAGGGATCAAAATAAGATACTTCGCCGAAGAAACCACACCTAAAGAATTCTGATGTCCCAAAATTGATGCATTGACCCAAAAATAAGGTTAGAATTTGAAAAAATCCATTTAAATAGAGTGTCCCAATCGCGTCCAAATGTATGACCGACCTCACTAACTTTGATCTAACCATGTCTGTGGTTCATCCCTTGGACCCCCATGGGACATTAGAATTCATTTTAAAGGTATGGTTTTTTTCAGCAAAGTATCAGATTTTGATCGCTAGAATCCAAAATCATATATGCCTAAGTGACCCTTAAATCGACACACCCTAATACACATACAGAGAGAGAATCATAATATTCTAGAGCTTTCTTGACTTGTTACCTCTTTTTTCAAATTCTTCAGGACTTGAAATTGGTGATTCTTGTAATTTTTTGTTACCTTTAATTTTTGTCAGAATCTCTTCAAAATTTATTTAAGAAAATCTATTGACATTCTCGTAAATCCTTTAACCTCTCATTATTTAGAAAAATTCTATAAATTTAAAATAATCTTAATCATTTTTAAAATATTATTTTTTTTATTAGGTGGTTACACCCAATATTCCAAATAGGTCTCAAGAGGTCTCTAGAAGCCAAGGATCTCTACAAGGCCTTGCCGAGTCATGCATCAGAGAGACTTGGCGACCAGTACGATGCATTGTGGCAAGAAGAGCTCAATAAGACAAGGACCAATAATGAGAAGAAGAAAAAGCCGAGCCTTCTTAGGGTCATTATGAAGACGAGTGGCCTGCAGGTTATCGGTTATGGACTGCTGTACTCTCTTATAGAAACCGCTGCCAGGTAAGAAAATAATTATACCAAAATTTAATCATGGTTTACAAAATATCTAATTAACTTTATTGAACCGAAAAATATTTAAGGAAAAAATTTATTATTCTTGTATCTTTCTTAGTACCTATTTTTTTAATGCTTTAAAACTGAAATTGATGATTCTTGTAACTCTCTTGTTACCTCTGTTTTTTGTCAAAATTTCTTTAAAATTTATTTAAAGAAAGCAATTGATCATTCTCGTAGTTATCTTTTAACCTCTCGATTTGGAAAATTACTTCAAAATTTAATTACAGAGAGCAATTGATGACTTCTATAGCAGTTTTTTAACTTTTCAATCTTTTGCAAAACAATTGATGATCTCTATAACTAATTTTTTATCCTTCGTTCTTTTGCAATTTTTTATTAAATTGAATTAAAGAGAGCAATAGATGATTTTTGTAACTCCTCTTCTTTTGAACATTTATTTAAAGAAAGCAATCAATGATTTCATAACCTTCTTTCTACATTTCGTTTTTTGCATTTTTTTTTCAATTTATTTAAAGAAACCAATTGACTTATTTGTAAATCTATTTAACAAAATCAATTGATGATCTTACTTTTCTGATGATCGTTCTTTTGCAGATTTCTTCAGAATTTAATTGAAGAGAGCAATTGAAGATTTTTGTAGCTCTTCTTCTTTTGAAATGTTATTTAAAAAAAGCAATTGATAATCTTCATAGCTATCTTATAATATTTCGTTATTTTGCAAATTTCTTTCAAATTTATATTAGGAAAGCAAATGATCATTATTAGATAGATGTTAGATGTTTATAACGTCTTGGGCTTTTCAATTTCCATTTCTCTTCAAAAATTATCAGGGGTAAAATCTGTGTTAGTTATATAATAATAATAAAAATGCAGTATACATTATTACCTTATAGCTTATGTATGTAATGATTGCTTATGATAACGACTATTTGATATGAATAATTAAATTATCAGAGTATTACTTGTAAACCCCGAAATAACGCAAAATAAGTTTTGATATTTATATTTTATAATATATGATTCGATGTTCAGTCAAACAATAAATTTGAGATATAAATAAATTTTAACTATACTAGTATATTGCTGACAAACCACTAAAAAATGCAAAACATAACTTTTTTGCAAATAGTTCCAGGAATCCTAAACAAACGATAAGATTATGTTAATCTTGAAACCTATGAAAGCGTTTTTTGCATACACAATTCATAATAAGTTTTATCATATTTTACGGTGTTTAATTTTCTATTTGTTACCAACACGAATTGTTAAACAAGTGGTCTAATTAATACGATATAGATAGATAACCTTATTTATCACTTGGCATGTTTTTTTCTGCAGTCTTATTGATTTTGGTGATACAACGTTGCAGTCTACATTAAATATAAATTGTATGAAAACTTATGATGATAACGGAAAAACACTCAGAGTTAGTTATCTGATAATTCTAAATAGAGCTAATGATATCGGTTGATAGTTTTTTTCTTTGGTGAAATCAGCCACATCAGAAAACAATGACTTGTTGATTTGTGGTTTGTAATCTTAGAGTTCTTGTTACAAGAAATAATTCAAAAACATAATATAAAAACAATAGAATGCTATTGAAGGAGTTTTTTGTGAACTATAATATTTATTTCTATTATTATTAAAATAATTCTTTATTTCATTTTTGAGTATATTTAGATTAGTAACTCTGTGATAATCTTTTTCTAGAGCTTTTTGTTTAACCACTATAACTATTCGCTTAAATTTCAATATCAATATTTTAATACAAGTTTAACCTTTAAAATGATGAATAACCCTGGCTAAAATATATCTCATGTTTCAAATTTTTGGTAATCAAATACTACAGACTATACAGACCAGAATTTTAGGAACAATCTTTAATAAACATCACAAAGCAGAAATATTTTTATGTGGTTACAAAAATATTTAAAGTCTCTTTCTGGGAAATACTTTTGTAATTCGAGAAATAAAGACAAGTTATTTCAAAATGGTCTCGAGATGGTTTTAGAAATTTTCATTGGTTTTAAAAAAGCTTTGGAAAAACTGTCGAGAAGTAATTATTCTTGTTAACAGTTATTTGAGAAACATTAACTAGGAAAGAAAAAATACTGTTGTAAATAGTAGATTCAACATTATCGTTATAGTTTCTATATCTACATGCAATTGATTGAATTCCTTAATCACATACTGTTTTATAAACTTAATAATCATCAAATTCAATTTAATTTTTTCTTCAGAGCTTTGCAACCTTTATTTCTGGGAGCATTAGTAGGATATTTTACACCAGGGCAGGATCATACGACTAAGGAGCAGGCTTATTATTATGCAGCAGGAATAGTGATGTGCTCAACCATTCCAGTGGTCGTTTTTCACCCATTTATTTTATGTATTATGCATTGTGCTATGAAAATTAGACTGGCTTGCTGTTCACTGATATATAGAAAGGTATTTATAAATATTTTTTAACCGCATTTAGGGTAGCGCGGGGCACAAAGGTTCAATAGTAATTATCGTGCGAAAACCACATATCAAAATAATAAATATCGAACTAAATAAATTCCCTGATAATTTATCTTTATAGAAATATTTTTTTGCTGAGAGAGAACTGATTAAATTTTTGGGAAGCCAGGTCCAGCGGTTATAGACTCTCAATGTAAATAAGTTAAAAAAAAAATGTCATTTGGCGGTCAAAAATGTTATGCACATCAAATTATAAGATATTCTATAGAGATTTTCATAATGTGTACACATTTTGTGTAAATTTTTTTGGGTTCTGTACCAAGATTTTTAATTACGGTACGGGAAGTTCCAGCAATTTGCCTTAAGGCACGATGTCATGCACCCCACTATCTAAAAATTTTATTGTTATCGTAAGCTAAAAAACAGTGCTCCAAACCAAAATACTAACAGAGAGTTAATTTCATGATTCTGATTATTATTTGGTCTCTTTGGCTCTCGATATTTTTCTTATTTCTTCAAATTATAGTACCGGTAATAAGCATACTTTACTTCACTTATTTTTAAGATAATTATGGTGAATCTTTAAGATGCACTTTACTCTTATCTATTAATGGTGTTAAAATAATATTGACTTGATAGTATGTACTGTATTCAATTAGTTATCATTCATCATTCATTTTTCTATCCCCGTGGTTTTAATTTCCAATTAATTTGTACTTGGTAGTCTTACAATTATAAAGGCCATTTTACAATTAAAATTTATTAAGCAATAAAAAAAATTCAATTGATCCAATAACAAACAATTGATCTATACTCAAACAGTAGCTCAAACAATCGTAACTGTACCATATTTACACAATGATACGCAAATCGTTCAAGCACCGCGGTGTTATTAATTTGTAGTGTAAATATTAATGACAATAGCGAATTTATCAGAATGTATTTCAATCATGTTTGGAACAGATTTGATCAAGTGAAAACTGGCACAAACCAGAGTTATCGATACATTTTGCTAGCAATTGCAATTTCTATAAGTGGTCAATAAGACCGACGAGACACTGAACAATATGGTGTGAGGCGTGTTAATGATAAGATGCAATTATCTTAATTTTTAATACGAGTTAATGACCGAATGATATATGGAAGTAATATATTTTTATCAAAAGCATTGAGAACAATCGCTAGTTACTAAAATTAAGTAAACATATTTATCAAACAAATTTTAGTTTAATTATTAAAAGATACATGGAGCACGTGCGCTCGAAATGACTAGTTATCATTTTCATACATTTTTGCGAAATGACTAATTATCTAATTCAAAAGCAAGCTATGTCGTTACGAGAATTTGATTTTCACTGTTTTACATTTAAGTCGTTTGTTTTCATAATAAAAAATATTTCGAAACCACATAATGCAATTAATTTTATTATACATTTAACAAAATTTATAAAAATTTATATTTTGTATTTTTGGTCGATAATATGGTATGGTATGATAATAATCTTCCGTAATTTGTATTGTTTTTCAAACGTGGAAATTTGTTTCAAACAATATATTTATTTCACACAAATATTTTCTTTATAGTCTAGTATAAAGTATAATGAAATAAAATATTTCCATATTTGAAAAAGGTTGAAAAGAAAAACGCCACTGAATTTAAATCATCAACTCTCCTGATAAAAAATTGAAACATGCCCCTTTAGTATACCTTGTCCCTTTACGGCCGAGAATTGTAAATTCCTCAAATTTATTAGATGTCCTTAACTGGACAGTTGTGAATAAAATAGAGAATAAAAAATAGAGAATAAAAAAAATGACCGAAAAAAATATTTTTCTAATGAATAGTATAATTTCAATTTTAATGTTTGAATATAGACTTTTGTAATAAAATCATGAAACTATTATATCAAATATTTTAGGTAGTTTTTAACTTCCTCAAGAAGTAGTTTGAATTCTCGGAATTCGATTTGTCAATTTTACGTTTTCTCAATCATTCAAGTCATTCTGAATCATTCGACTCCAAAATCAAAAAATTATATGTGTTTATTATGTAAGTAATAATGTAATTATAGTATGTAAGCCAAAAATTTGACCTCTCATCGACTCTTTTTTCTCAAACGTCTGCACTCATTTCAATATGTAATTAATAAAAATAATTAATTAATTAAAATTAATAAAATCCATCGATTAAACTAATGAAAACATTGATGAGTTTTTCGCAAGGACGGACTGAGCCTTTTCTTTATAATTATTGAATTTTTTTACGAGTTTAGCCAAATATCTTGAACTGATTTTAAAAATTTAGAACTAGTCAACAGATATTTGTTTGAAACTGTGCTGATTAGTAGTTTTTGATAAAGATCGAACGGGACGTTTCTTCATTGGATTTTTTTTTCGATTTTGTTGGAACTTTGCATGATGATAGAGTTTATGGTCTTTTAACGAACAGAAAATCTATTCTGTTAGGTAATCTTAATTCTTATTGATTAAGTCGATCATCTAGAATTATAAGGAAGTTTTTGCTACTAACTTTAACACTAGAATGCGAAGCGAATTTGACTTATTTGCATTTTTATGTGATATACATAACAATTTCAAGTCATTTTTTTAAACATTTTTTTGATTTTTTTTTATTTATTTATTTTATTTTATTTTTTTATTTTATTTATTTTTTTTTTACTTAGTACAATGAAAGGTATATAAAAAATAATTACTATTCCTCCCTAATCACTTACCCAAATTGACTCTCAATCATACAGAATAGGTAATCAACCAACCGCCGTCATTCTAGTGTTAAGGAAAATGCCACTTACATCTAATTAATCTCTATTTATATTTGCCTCAAGTCGAAATGCTACTTACATCTACTTATTCTTAATTTTTGCAAATTCTTACTATTTTTTCAGGTGTTATCAACAAACAAGTCCAGCACGGGTGAAGGAATGGCCGGACGCGTCGTGAATCTAATGTCCAACGATGTCCAGAGATTCGATTTGGCTGCGGCGTTCGTGCATGATTTATGGCGAGGTCCTGCCGATGCTGCATTGTTTGGTTATCTCATGTATAGAGAAGTTGGACCTAGTGCTCTGCTGGGGGTCGCGTGTATGATTGCATTTATACCTTTGCAAGGTAAGGGATAATAGTCATATATTGCAACAAAGTACTGTTCATCATTGTATGAATACTATTGAATTTAAATTTTTCACAACATTGTATTATCCCTACGCTGATTAATGTAAATATTATACAAAAATGTATACCCCAAGTTTTCGCAAACATCTAACGTAAGAATGAGCCCCGCTTTTTTAACTTCCCGCAGGGTAAATTATAGTAACCGCAAAAAAATCGAAAATGAAAGTTTTTATATATCTTTACGTTTCAAAGGTTTCTGAATATTTTGGCATACCTTAGAAAAATGGATGTATGTGTGTGTGTGGGTGGGTGGGTGTGTATGTGTGTGTGTGTGTGTGCGTGCGTGTGTGTATGTATGTGCGGATACAAATTTTCGTCGACGAATTCGGGAACACCGATCAACCGATTTGAATAATTCAAAAAACATTCGATTTGTATTAATAAGGAGACGTGCTGATTAGTTTTTGGGGAAGGCAAAGCTAACCGTTCCGTAGATACGGTAGATTGGCAAAAAGTGCCAAAAACGGCAACTCAGTTTTTAAGAGAACGGAGCATCTGATTATAATAATTCAAAAAACATTTACTTGTATTGACAAGATGAAGAACTAATTAAATTTTTGGTAAGGCAGGTCCAGCGGTCATGGACTCTCAATAAAAATAAATTCAAAAAATGTCATTTGGCGGTCAAAAATGTTTATTGGACATATGTACATCAAATTTTCAGATATTTTATAGAGATTTTAATAATGTGTACGCATTTTGTGTAATTTTTTTTGGGGTTCCGTACCACGATTTTTGATTACGGTACGGGAAGTTCCAGCAATTTGCCCTAAGGCACGATTCCATGCACCCCACTAGTTTCGACTCCATCTTATTATAAATTTCAAACAATTTTTCGGAATTTATAATTTTTTGATTAGGATGGTTGGGTAAACGCGCTGCTTCCCTGCGGCTTCGCACTGCTCTTAAGACAGATGAACGAGTTAGACTCATGAACGAAATTATTACTGGTATGCAGGCAATAAAAATGTATGCCTGGGAAGGATCATTTGCTAAAATGCTGTCTTACGTAAGAAGGTAAAGTATTTTTTTATTATTTTTTTCTATTTTTAAGTTATTATTTTTTCCTATTTTAATTCATTTTCAGGAAAGAAGTAAACATAATTCGTCAGTCCAACTACATTCGAGCAACTTTGGGAGCTTTCATAAGTTTTATGCCACAACTTTGTATTTTCATAACTATTGTTAGCTACATTTTAATGGGCAATCAAATCACTGCTTCCAAAACCTATATTGTTACATCCATGTTCAATATGCTTAGTTTTTCTATGGTTGAATTTTGGCCACTTGCAATAACAGTGTGCTCTGAAGGATACATTTCTGTTAAAAGAGTTCAAGAATATTTACTTCAAGGAGATTACGTAGAAGAAAAAACAAAGAAAAGTGATAAGAAAAAGTTAACAAATGGTGATTTAGCGAAGAAGAAACTAATGGAAAAACATGAAAAAAATCATGTTGGAAATGTGAGAGTGAGGTCATGATTGTTGATACTTAAATTTTGATATATTGGGTCTAAATATTTGTGGTACTTTCTAGGGAACTTGCGACGGGCCAATTGCTGAAGGGATGAGCGTTGTCTTCAAAAATGTAACGGCTTGTTGGAGCACTGAAAGCAATGCTGGAGTATACAACATTGATTTAGAATGTCCAAAGGAAGGCCTTACAGCCATTGTAGGTCCTGTGGGTTCTGGTAAAACTAGTCTCTTACAAGTTGTATTAAAGGAACTTCCAGTGCAAAGAGGTAAATGAAACTTGAGCTAACTAACTAAATAACTTATTAATCAATGTCATTTTTATTCATTTATAATAATTTTTATATTTATTTTAGGAACTTTATTGATCAGTGGTCAAGTATCATACGCAGCGCAGGAATCCTGGTTATTTGGAGGAACATTGAAGCAGAATGTCTTATTTGGAGAAGAATTTGAAGCTGATCGTTATGCTGAAGTTTTACGTTGCTGCGGATTAGAAAGAGATTTAACACTTTGGCCGCGAGGCGATGCAACAATAGTTGGCGAAAGAGGAGTTGCTTTGAGTGGAGGACAAAAGGTAATAGTAAAACAATATTAGTAAATTAAATAATATTAAAAATATAAATTTAATTATCATTTTTGAATTCAGTTTAATTGTTATAAAAAGCTTAGTTAAAAAAAGAAGCGTAGCGTGTCTTGGCATTTACTCTTAAGAAGGGCTATATATAGAATTTTCACATTATAAAAAAAAACATATAATTAGAAGAAATTTTTATACATCAAAATTATATATCTGTTAATTTTTCCGAAGTGTGTTTTAACAATTTAAATTTATTTTTTATTTAAATATACAGTCTTTTGCTTTTTTTGAATTATATTTCATTCAAAAGCTTATATCATATTGCCTTACATGCACTAATTACTCTATTCACCATTCAATAATTAAGCGCGATAAACAATGCACTAATATTCCAATGCAAAAATGTGTATTGTTGCTGTTTAATTTGGTAAATACAATAGATGAATAGTGAATGTAAACATCTGAATTCTTTCGGCCGATGCCATTAAATGGAAAAATTTGTCATTTGAATCAACAATGACTTGTATTGTGCCATTGAATTTGAAAATATAAATAAAAAGCAAGGTGCATTTGAACGTTATATATACATAGATTCTTGCCTGAAAATTTATTTCATTGTGTTCTGCATTCGATGTTTACATTGGTGTTATGATGATGAATGATTTGCAATAGTTGGTTCAATGGCAAATGAAAACAATGGCACCGGGTAATGATGATAAAAATTATATTTAATATTTTATAAAAAAAAACTATTTGCAAAGAAATTAATAAAAAAATTTTAGGTCTAGCGTTTCAGAAAGCCTCGCAAAGTTTCTAAATAATTATAATTTTATAAAATTTGTGTAATTTTTGTCAGCATTTTTTTAGCAATAAATCTAATTTACTCACACAATAGTTTAACTATAATTCAGTTTATGTAAATCTTTGTAATATTTTTTTTAACTTGCGATAGAAAATTGTGTGGTTGAGCTGACGCCCACGTGGTCTAGCACCGCCATGGTTCTCAAAGCATACTCCTGATATTATATTTGTTTTTTTGAATTTTTTATTTGGCAACCAGCAATTTTATTTTCTTCTTTCAAATATTGAGACTTAAAATTATGAATTGGTTTATATTTACAGGCTAGGGTAGCTTTAGCCAGAGCTGTTTACAGGCGGGCCGACATATATTTGCTTGATGATCCTCTTTCCGCCGTTGATACTGCTGTTGGGAAGAAATTGTACGAAGATTGCATAACTGGTTAGTAAAATAAAAATATTTACATTTAATTTTTGTGGTATATTTTGATGGCTGTCCATTAATCAAGTGCAATTTGTTTTAATAAAAATTTAACCCCCACACGACCTTGGTGATATTTATAATTACCTCTTATCCCCATCCAACACCACGTGCATTTTTAATATCTGCAAAGTAAAAATTCTAAAGAATTATCTTAAAAAGCAAATAAAATATAAATACACGTGATATCTTACTACAACTTTTACTTCCTCCTTGTGATATTTTGTGAATTACTTTTATTAATACAATATCTGTTTAAATCAAATTCAGTTCAAATAGTCTAATTAGTGAAGGCAACGTTAAAAATTAATAATGCATTGCATAGAAAATATTGAATACAAATTTCAGGTTTCCTGAAGGACAAATGCTGTATTTTAGTTACTCATCAGTTACAGCATTTACGAGGAGCCAGTCATGTGGTGTGCATGCAAAAGGGAAGTATTGAAGCATTTGGAAGTTACGACCAACTTTCTGCAAGAGGTGTTTGTGAAAGATTACTTTCCCAAGAAAGCACTCAAGAAGAAGATACTGGCAAAGATCATAAAACGGTACGATATCGGAAATAAAATTTAACTTAGAAAGTTAAGCATATCGATTGTTAATTGGTTGGTTGGTTGCACTAATCATTTACAGTACAAATTGTTTTATTATAGAAATGATTGATATTTACTTATAAAGAATTGTTCAATAGTTATTCACAAGTTTCATCTTAATTATTATTTCTTTTCAGGATGCGTCGGATGTAGATGAAGCGCCAAAACTTGAAATGAATGATGATGATGAGGAATATCAATCAGCTGGTTCTGTAGGCGTCCATGTCTATTTAGGATACTTCCGCGCAGTCGGAAATACTTGTACTTTGTTACTTCTTGCTATATTGTTTTTGATGCGCGAAATTGCCGCAAACGGGATTGTGTACTGGGTTGCATTTTGGTAAGTATGTTTTTTAGACAAAAACTTTGGTTAAACACTATACGATTATATTATATAGACAAAAGCGTTAAATTACATAAGCCAAATCATAGTTAAACTAATAATTATCTACATTCTTACAGCATTCATTCAATTACTTAATCATGTATATTCTTATTTTTACGTTGATACATCTATTTCATTTATCTCAATTTTGTGTGAATATTTCCACTTATGATTTTTTTTCAGGGTAAACATAGAAGAAAACAGAAATAACACTGAAGTGATAGACATCAATTCAGTAAACATCCCTAACGATACGATTTATGTGAAAGATTTTGATTTCAATGCGAATCTTCTAAATACAACTGCCAGTAATGATAGTTGGACCGACTTCTTATCTCAAGATAACTGCATATATATTTATTCCGGTATCATTGGTGTTCTAATATTTGCTGCGTTTAGTAGAACCTTTTTCTTCTACATAGCTTGTGCCAAAGCTTCTATGACTTTGCATGATAATATGTTCGTTGGTCTGACTCGAGCTACAATGAGATTTTTCTACAAGAATGCTTCTGGAAGGATATTGAATAGATTTTCTAAAGATATTGGTGCCATTGATACTATTCTGCCTATGGCGTTTATGGACTGCATTTTCGTAAGATATCATTTAATTATATTACCAATTTTTTTTTAATATATCCGTAAATATTTTTTGATTTTAGTTTTTTGCTGATACTATAGGTATATTTGTTTTGGTTGGAATAGTTGATTATGTTTTACTTATTCCAACGTTCTTTATGGGAATATTATTTTATGTAATGAGAAGAGTATTTTTATCTACAAGTAGAAGTGTTAAGAGACTGGAAGGAATCAGTAAGTAATAACATTCATTTATTTTGATAAGTATAAATTATTTGTGTTTTCCTCATGAGTTTTTTTTACCATTTTAGCCAGAAGTCCCGTTTTTACGCATGTAAATGCAACTCTGCAAGGTCTAACAACCATTCGAGCATTTGATAAACAAAAAGAATTATCTTTAGAGTTTGATGAACACCAGAATCTGCATAGTTCCGCATTTTATATGTACTTAACAACAACCAGAGCGTTTGCACTATGGCTTGATGTTGTTTGTATTATTTATATTCTGGTAGTCACACTAAGCTTTCTGGTTTTAGGCAATGGTAATTAAAGAATCAGAAAAATTGATGATAGATAAAAATTTTATTAAATGTATAATCAATATTATCATTTCAGATCACGCACCTGGTGGAAACGTTGGTATGGCGATTACTCAAGTCATTGGTTTAATAGGTATGGCACAATGGGGAATGCGACAAACTGCTGAACTTGAAAACCAGATGACCTCAACTGAAAGAGTTTTAGAATATACAAAATTAGAACCAGAGCCTCCTTTGGAAACACCGCCAAGTACAAATTTACCACAACCTTGGCCAACTGCGGGGCGCGTGGAATTCAAGAATGTCAGTCTTAGGTAACTATTTCAATAACAAATATTTACTTGTAAAATAAATTAAGAAAAATAACTTATATAGCCATTATATAGTATTTTGAATGACTTTATATATTTTACTACTTTACTGGTAGATATAATCCTGAAGAAGAGTGTGTCTTGAAAAATCTTAACATATCCATATCGGGTGGAGAAAAGGTGGGAATAGTCGGTAGAACTGGTGCAGGAAAATCATCTTTATTGTCTGCACTCTTCCGTCTAACAGAACATGAAGGAATAATAGAAATTGACGGAATTGATACTAAAAAACTTGGCTTACATGATTTAAGGTCCAGCATTTCTATTATTCCCCAGGAGCCAGTTTTGTTTTCAGGAACTCTTAGGGGCAACCTGGATCCATTCAGTTGCGCCAGTGATGATCAGCTTTGGAAAGCATTGGAAGAGGTAAAAAATATATGATTTTTTTTATAAAATTATTTTACTCAGTGTCTTAATGAAAGCACATTCTCCAATTAGGTTGAATTGAAGAAAGTGGTCAGTGAATTGACTTTAGGATTGTACAGCAAAATGTCGGATGGTGGATCCAATTTTAGTGTAGGACAACGTCAATTAGTCTGCTTGGCTCGTGCTATTTTAAGGGATAACAAAATTTTAGTCTTAGATGAGGCAACTGCTAATGTTGATCCGGAGACTGACCGACTCATACAATCAACTATTCGTGAGAAATTCTCTCACTGCACTGTTTTAACAATAGCTCATAGGTAACATTCTACACCATGTTAAAATATGTAAAACTTGGATATAACTTGCATATGATTGTTAAAGTGTTAAATTATTGAAGAATTTTGAAAAGTATTAATTTTTTTAGATTACATACAGTGATGGATAGCGATAAAGTCTTAGTAATGGATGCTGGCTGTGTTATAGATTTTGGGCATGCTTATGATCTGCTTACAAAAGGTTCAGAAATCTTCAAAAACTTAGTAGACCAAACGGGTAGCTCTACTGCACAAATGCTTACAGATATAGCAAGAGCAGTGAGTATAATTTTAATCAAAAGAATATTACTAAAATTATATATTAGATAATTATAGCATATTCGAATATTTTAGGATTTCCAAAAGAAAACTGAGAATAAAAAAACAGCATAAATTATTAGGAGATAATTATTGTGAGTATTATGTAGATAATTTAAGATCGTGATATAGTAAATGAATTTATAGATCTTTATAATTTACATTTTATAGATAAATTAAATCAAGTTTATATGTATAGCCATAATGGCCTGCCTTAATTGTTCTTGCCTTTAACACAGCTATTAACAAATTATATATATATATATATATAAATTATAATATAGCTATTATAAAAATTGTATACTCCTTATGACTGCCAACGTTTCATAGAATAATGAAAAAATGTACTTAAAGTTCGTAACATTTGTATTTAATATTATGTTTTAATTGTACTATGTTAGATACATTTATTGTCATTGACTTATCTATGGTTAAACTTGGTTTATTTTGATAAATGATCATTTAAGAGGCACTTCTTACTTATAGTGATGTGTAATTCGGTTTTGCACTTCATACATATTTTTAGTGCTATATTGTCACTCTAAATTAAATGCTTAGTGATATTCGTTTTGATAATATTTAGACTTTTTTATATAACAACGGTTAGTATTAAAATATTTTATAGGTATAAAATCACAACCATTTGCAATTATACTAATTTGATAATAAATATATAATTTTCAAACCCAATATATAATATTTTTTCTAATCAATATATGTTAATATTCAAATACTTATTACCCATTTTGTTTACTGATTTAAAAATTGGTCTAATAAATCATTGTCATCTTGATCTAAAACTATATCTTCTAAACACACTGTTTGCTGACTGGAAGGTATGCGAACCCCTGCAGTATACATATATTAAATATATTTAAAACATTATCATTTAATAAGTAATTAAATACATACGTTCAATATGGCCTTGAGTTTGATATTGCATAAGATCATTTTGAAAAGCTTCTTGAAACGCTTCCTGACGTTCTTTCAACTCTTTTTCATGAATTATTTCCACCTTCTTTATATTTTGAGTGTGCTGTACAGCTAAAGTACTACGATATCTTTCTAAGTTTTCTGAAATATATGATAGTTAAATGTGATTATGAATTCATATTAAAATAAATAAAAGTGTATAATAAATTCAGAGTCAATACCCAGTTTTTTTTGTTTGTATGACTGTATTTGGTCAGCATATTTTAATTTACGGTCTTCTATTTCTAAAACCTCAATTAAATTTTCTAATTGAAATAAATCTTTTTCAATATTTCTAAACTGCAAACCGATTTCTTCTATAGATTTAGAGCAAGAGTCAATTGTGGATACTAAATAAGGAATATTAGCCAATGCTATGTTTAAATCCATCATTTTTCTTTTGTGTGATTCTGTGTCTTTATAAATTTTGTCTATCAAATTAGCTAGCATTTCAGCAGTCTTTGCATTCTCCTAAATGAATTGGTATAGATTAATTTTGAACTAAGTGTGAAGCAGGCTTAGTCGATATAGAAAATAATAAATAATGATAATAAAGATATATTACTTCAGTTAAATTGTGCATTGATTCCCAATCATTTTGATATTTTTCCAATAATTTACATCCAGCAAAATAGTTAACGTCGTCAAATTTATCACTTGATTGATTTATACTTTGGTCAGCTGTTGATGTTAAGGAAATACTGCTTATACTATCTTGTACAACGGTTTTTAATTTATTTCTTATATTATTAAACATATTTAAAAACTCAACATGACAAAAAATATAATGAAAAAGATGAAAATATGTTACTAAAACATTGAAAATAAATCAAAAGAAAAACCATAAAAATAATTAGAGAAATGTCGAACTGTCAAAAGTTTGATAGTTAAAACTGTCAAAAGTTTGACAGTTAAAACTGTCAAAAGTTTGACAGTTAAAGATTAGATTTTAAGTGATTGTGTTGATTTAAATTAGTATTTTTAATGGAGTGGTTCACAAATGAAGATAAAGATTCCACTTGAACATTTACAAAATGTAAATTAAATGTATAAAATGATTAAACTAGTGTTTTTGATGTAGTGATTCACGAGTGGCCTGCTTTGGGGCTTCTAGGTGCTACTTTGAAGGATTTTTTGCAATGTAAGTCTTGAATGCAATTTTTATACACAACTTGTCAAAGAATACTTTTCTGGAATTATGTACAGGTATTTATTGTATACCAAATGATAACTGATAGTATTTTAAGACATATATAATATTTAACATTAAAGTATAACATTTTGGTATTTACAGAGAAGGGCCTTATAGGCACATGCATTCACTACATTTGGTCTATATTTGACATGATGCTTAACTTTATCAATTCGTTTTTTTTGCAATTCTAGTAACAAATAAACTGAAATTTATTCTTTGTCACATGTATTCGATTAAGGGACTAAAAAACAAACTTTTTTAGCAGACATTTGTATGAAAGTTTTCGAATATCACTTTTGCAATTTTGTCATAGCAGTTGTGATAACAATTCATTATGGGAGAAGAATATTGGTTTAATTTTTTTATTTATTTAAGCAAATACAATTTGTAAATTTATTAAATCATGTTGTATTTCTTGTCTATATCAATTATATCTCGTTGAATAATATTTCCGATATTTATCACAAATTATAATACAAGACATCATAAATTATATTATAAGACATTGTGCTGCTTTGTGTGGTTCTAGAGAGGATTTTTAGTAAAGAATTTGAGTTTAAATGTTCCAGTTTCTTCTCTTATGCAATCTCCTACTGGTTTTTATACATTATGTACATATGCACATATTTATCGTAATTTGAATTAGTATGTCTATTTGAAGCATGCATCTAAAGTTTCTTAGTTCTTTGCCGTTTCGACTTAATTAAATTGCTTCAGTTTTAAAAAATGTTTGTCAAATGAATATGGTCTTAGTATTATTTATTAATTCATTAACCACTCAAACCTTTGTTATTGTTGAGATGTAAATTCAGCTTGATTGAAATTGAAATATATTTTAATGATTTTGAGTTTTGAATTGCATCAGCTCGACTGATGTTGCTAGACTTGATCCTCAGAATAAATCTTTACTTATTTTTAGTTTTTGATTGAATCGGCTAATCTGATATTGATAGACTGATCTTAAGACTTACACCTCAATTATTTTGAATTTTAATTGCGTCAGCTGGACTAATCTTACTAGACTCATTGTCAGACATAAAATTTCCTTTTTATTCTTTAGATCTTCAGACTTATATAATACATTCTTTGACTTATATAGTGTGCCAGAGACTTTTACTTTAAATATTTTGAGATATAAAATTCATCAGTTTCATTTATATTGCGCCCAGCCAGAATTGATTTTAGTTCAAGAACTTGGTGCATGTAACAGAAGAATAATATTGTCGTTATATTGATTAATATAAAATATGCAATTAAGAATGTAATATTCATACAATTTTGGTAAATATACAAGATACTAAGATACACCGAGTGCCAACTAGCAGTTCTAAAACAATATCCCTAACTTCATTAAAATAATTTGATCAATTTCTAATCACTATGGAATCTGGTAATGTTTTTATCCAATTTCATGACGACGTTTTAATAACTTATAATATTTATTTATCCTAGTTTTAGATAAACGGTTTCTTGCTTGTTTATACGTACTTAAGTCGCAAGTACATAATTTTTACTGAAGATGGAATGGGCTTTTCATGTTCACATAACATGAGTGTAAATAATATTGAAAACTTTACAGTTAATTACAATTAAACTCATTTTATATTTGAAAGTTACTTAATTTTACTATCTGTAATTTTAATTTTAATATTGAATCAGTATTTTATATAACAATTTAAATAATATTTTAATTATTGTTATAACAATAATAAATATTGTTATAACAATTATTCAATATTTCTACCTTTTACCTTGGTAAAAAATATTACAATAATCAAAGTGTTACATCAAAATCTCGTTTGCGATCCGTGAGCTCATAAGATTAATTAAAAAGTCAAAAGTCATATTCAATGACGACCGGTAATAATATGAACAGTTTCAATTCAGTATTTGATCAGTCAGTATTATTTTTATTATTAAATTGTTTATGCAGTTTTTTGTCAATTATTTTCCTTGAAATTACAATATGTTTAAATATTTCAAAAGAATTATTTTTTATTTATTAATCTTAGTAATATTATTAACGTTTTCAATATTTGAAACTACTGGAAAAGTGTTTAGTCGTTGTGAAATTGCACATGAACTTTTGAATCAAGGATTTCCAAATGAATCGTTATCAAATTGTAAATAATTAATTGGTAGATAAATATGGATATATAAACCAAAACAAAAAATAGAGAAATGATTAAAATATGTTTAATAAAATTATAATTTCCCAATATTTGGATATATATCATTAGTTATACTTGATCATCGTAATTTCACTTAACAATATAATTCCATTGAACATATTTTAATAGTTAATTTTTTTTTTTTTGTGTTTAATTAAAACTACAATAAAAATGCTTCAACATGTTTGTTGTTCTTGTATGATTATATGTATACTTAAAACAAATTGAAATGTTTCAATAATTAGTTCTTATAGTTGTTTTGTATTTATTGAATATTTTTTACTGCTGATTGATGACACGTATTTAGTGTCGAAACATAATAAATAATTAATTGTGAATATCTGTCGATCACCAGAAAATCCCAATGTTAATGTTTTCTAATGCTATATGTTTTCACATTCTGAATCGTTTAACCGATTTTACATGAAATTATATTTCATATTAAATATTATATAATATTTAATGTAAAAGCCATTTAATGAAACTCGAATTGGACACGTGTTGACTAGCTTCGTCCAACGATCAACCGAGCCGTTTCTTTATAATTAGCACTGCTAATTTACCAGATTAGCAGATTTTTTTTTGTCAATATTTGAACATAACGATAAAGTTCATGGTATTAACGAAAATCCTAATAAAATAATATAAAGCTACAAAAAGTAATTTAATTATAAAAGTTGATTAAAATTTGCAGTAATAGGCTGCGCGGTTAGGTCATTAACGTGTATAATATCAATTAGAAATCGCATCGATTAGTTTTTAATAAATTAGTTTTCAATAAACAGTAGCTAAATCTGAATTTCTATAGATTAATATTATTATTTTTAATGTGAACTGTTAGTTTTTCAATAAATTGAAATCAAACTTTAGGGGTCTGTCTGGTTGAATCAGAAAGCGCCGGTAATACTTCCGCTTTAGGTATTCTGAATGGACGTGGGAAATTTTATCATGGTTTATTTCAAATAAATGAAGAATATTGGTGCCGGAAAGGAAACCCAGGCGGAGGATGTAACATCACTTGCGAAAGTAATTATTATATTGCATAAAATAATTATAACTAATTAAATTATATTGAAATAAATCTATTTGAAGGTTTGACTGATGAAGATATAAGTATTGCTGCAGCTTGTGCTCTGAAAATTTATAACAGTCGTGGTTTTCGTCAATGGGCGGGATGGAAAGTCAGATGTGAAGGCAAATCTATTGATCTAAGCAAGTGCTTCGGGGAAACTGAGATTCTAAAAAAGTGAGAATTATATGTATAGTTATATTGTTCTTTCTAAAACCCAAATTTGAGAATTAATAATATATTATCATTAAGTAATAATAAACCGAAATAATTGTTTTTATAATTGTATTTATAAAAGACTAGTATAATTTTAATATTTTTCATAAATTTCTATTTTAATGCTTCATATCCTACTATATTTTCCAGTCGTTCCAGTTGAGTCTCATCTAAAGTCATTTGTTCCTTTAGATATTTAGCCATAGAAACGGTTTCACTAAATGCATTATCTGCACAATATTGAATACACATCTGTAATAAATTGAAATTATAAGTGTTTGATAAATTTTGAAGTTTCAATGAAATTGAGTTCTAATGCATACAATTGCTCGGCTGGGTGTTTTATTAGTTATACACAGATCCAAATAAATTTGAAGAGGTTCTATAGATGGAATTCCAGTGCCTACACCTGAATTTAACTTTTCTAAAACTGTTGTGGCTTTATCAAATTCCTTATTTCTCAAAACAAGTAGTAAAATATTTCCTAACAAATCTCCAGTCCAGCTACAACAAAGAAAAATAAGAAACAATTTCAGTTATTCTAGAAATTTGCTGGTTAATGCAGCTTATTACGTTATCTGTTTTGTGCGAGATTCATCTTGACCCTCAACTTTCTCCCAGACTGCCCAGGCAATTTCAGAAAATTTCTCAGAAAGGGTGTTATCATCAGTTAAACTTTCAGCGGGATATTTTACCATAATGTTCAAAAGTAAAGTTACAATATTTGCTCGATTTATATGGTCAAACATAACCATATGTGACCAAATTCTAGGCAAAAGTTCCACAGAACCATTTAAATCAATTGCTTTGAGAATCTATAAAACACAATCATAAATTAAATAATGACAAAGTTTAGATGTTGATATTAAATAGCTCACCTCAAACATTACAGATGGTTCTGGGGTATAAATATTTGGTACTAATTTATCATAAAACTCCATAAAAACTTCTAAAGGCTCTGTAGAGCAAATTAACATGAAGTAATGTCGACTGCAAAAAAAATAATTCATATTAATAGATATCACAGAAAAGGGCAGATGAAGAAGAGAATAGCTTGTCTGCTATGTTAAACTCACTAATAAATTGATTCTTTATATGAATCACCAATTAAATTGTAGTTTTCTCCAGTGTGCAGAAGATCATCTACTCGTCTAGCTAACTCTACATCATTCAAATGGTTGTGGCATATGTCCATTGCAGTCACAAAGAAAAATGTGTCTTTAGGATCTACTATAGCAAATTCTTTTCCGGATATGTGATTCATAATATCAACAAGTATAGAACTAATAGGTCCTCCTGTTAAGAAAATCCGCTTTGAATGCAATTCTAAATATTATTATTATATCATAATAATTACTTACGTTCCTTGCAGAATGTATTCAATACATGGTACCATCCAGCAAGTGAAGGTTCTAAATTTAAAGATTTGAACTCAGCCAAAGCTTTCAAACAATAATCCTGTGATAGCCTAGGGACTCCTAGTAAACTTATGGCCTCCAAAACAGAGTTTACTGTTAAAACATTTGGTCTCAAGCCCTGAGGATAAGAACAAAATTATTCTTATTTACACATAAGAACAAAATACAAAAAGGTATATCATTGATGAAAAATTAACCTGATTCTTCATATTAGTCAATAATTCACTAATAAGATTCCATCTTAAATCGGCACTCTCTTTGAGAAAGTTTGCAACACGAATTAGACTATTATAGGTGTCTGTATCAATTGGTATTCTTTTCTCTAGTGTTTCTTGATACATTGCCCAAGCACGGTCCACCTATCGGATTAATAAAGTTTAAATTTTCTATAGAAAAATTATTATCAAATCTAGTATATTGTGTTTACTTGAAAGAATTTTGCCATCCCTCGGATAATAGCACAATAAGCAGCAGGAGTTTTAGTTTCAAGTGAATTAAATATTTGGTCAGCTAAACTATGATCTCTGAAATTGAACAATAGGTTTTCAAAATATCTTAAACCTATACCTCAATTAAAATTACATTCATTATTTATATCATACTTCCAAGTATTTCTTTGTCTGTCACGAGTTTGGGCACTTTGCTGGAACCATCTTTCTTCAATAAGTTCTTCTGAAACGGGTTCTTCCTCATTATAGTAACATAAAAGTTCAAGCATAGATTGAATACATTTCTCAGATAGCTTTGATTTTTCTTTTAATATGTTGTATACAATTACTGCATCAGAAAGTCTAGCATTGTGAATTAGATTTAGCAAAATTTCTTCATTCACCTATTAATAAATATTCAAGATCAGATTTGAATGTCTCACATGTTTGAAATTTTTGATGATTTGGTAATTTAAAACACAAGCACAAAATTGATTGCAAGTTAATTTATGGTTCTCAATTATTGTAGCTCAAATAAAATTGTATTTATATAAATACATTTACCTCAGACTTTTCATCATATACTGGTCGTGGTTTGTAAGCTTCTATAGGAGGATCTGCAATATTGTGCTGAAATAATTTAGCTTGCTCTTGTCGAATAAACATTGCAGCTTTTCTTCCAGCTTCTTGAGCCATAGCAAAAATTCTTTTCCCTGTTATATTAAAGTGATTCATTTATTGGATGCTCATTAACAGAGAATTCCATCAATATAAAAATATGAATACCTGTATTAGATGATGGGATTAGGAATGGATCATCATGATATTTAAAATGTGCTGCTGTCGGATCTCGTTTCACAGTACTGGAAAGTGCTTTTAAGATATCAGTAGGTCCTAGAAAATATTTAAAAAACGAATTGTGAAACTGTTAATATACGAGATATTAAATATCTACATACCACGATGTATTCTATTAGGTATGACAATTCTTCCTGCATTTTCGGTGGAGTATAAGTTAATAGTATTTAAAAATCTTGGGAAGTTGATGTGTGTTACCTTATTCATGTTAAACATGATTAGTTAATTTTTTTTTAATTTAAATGCCAAATGTAATTGTATGCAAGTTCTTTTCAAATTATTTGAAGGTTATATTAGCTTAAATATTTAACCAGAATATTTGTATTATTTAAATAGGTGAAAGCAATAACAATTATTTATTGTTTGTGTTATTTAAATTGTAAAAGTAATCACATCTAATATAAACAATTAAACAATTTAAAGTTTTGGCATTTAACATTTGCATAATTCACATAATTGTCATAACCTCAAACAAGCGTTTATATAGAAGGAGAGCTGATATCAAGAGTAAGCAAATTAGCTAAATAAATATACAAATTATCCTTATCATTATTTCTTGATATTTGTTTCTTTTTAATAAATATAGCTTTTAGTATGAAATCTTACAAATATTATTCAATATTTAATGTGATACATTATTTTACAATCTAGCAAGTAATAGCATTAAAATCGCATTTAAAATTAGTTAGTTTCTGAATTGTCTTGAATTCATCATCATATTAATAAATCGAGTTCACATTTATATATATATGTATTTTAATACTTGTGTATGTTCCGAAAATTTAGCATAAAGTATGTGAGGGTAGTGTAATAATAAATAATAATTATTTTATTATAAAAATCATTTAATTTTACTTTTAACTAAATGCGTAATTATGGCCATTTTTAATGTTGAGATCAATAATATATTATAATTATAATATATTAAATTATAATATTCAATTTTATATTGTCTAGGTTTGGTACGCCTACATTTTTTCTAGAGACGCCTTCATTAATAGAAAATACCAACCGAATAATAATACAATCAAAAGAATGATAATATTGGTGTTCATGCAGCGCCGCCATTAAGGCTTACTGTGAAAGATAGTATCTTGACATGGCTTCCGATTTCCCTTATATCATGTATTGATTATATTTTGACGTTTGGTTTGTATGTTTACAGTGTTTATTTCCACTGATAGATAGTAACGCGAAATAAATAGAATAATGCATGAATCGAACTGTGAAAAATAGTGTAATACAACCATAAGTGTATAAACATTTGGGTGTGATATATTCATTGTGTCAGTATGGGAAATGTTTTAGTACTCCGGCAACTAAAGAAAAGCCTACTATTGACAATCGTGCCCCTATAGACGATGTGCAACCCTCACAAAACACTCCAGTGCCTACGCCGCCCCCCGATCCTATTAGACCCATTCAAATTCTCCCTGAAAATGATGTTCCGAATGCCAAAATATTCGTAGCTCTATACGACTATGATGCTAGGACAGATGAAGATTTGAGTTTTCGTAAAGGAGAACATTTAGAAATTTTAAATGATACTCAAGGAGACTGGTGGTTAGCAAGAAGCAAGAGGACCAGACAAGAAGGCTACATTCCGTCCAACTACGTTGCGAAGCTCAAATCCATAGAAGCCGAACCGTAAGTAAATAATTTTACTTTCACTTGTGGCTGTTATATATTATTCTGATGTGTTAAATCGATTTCGAATAATATTATTAGAACTAATCAAAATTGTGCTAATTGCGCAAGTTGACAGATGTCTGAATACACAAATTGACAGTTCAAAAATATTTATTTATTGGCCTTCATAGGAAACTTATATTAGTCCTATTTGTACTTTACTAGGTAGGTTATAAAAAAAGTCCTATTTGTACTTTACTAGGTACATTCATATTACCTGCAAATATTTTTATCGCTTTCTTATTTACTAGGAACGTCTAAGTAAATATTAAATACAAAAATCTGGTTGGCTCGTATGTTCTGCTTTTTCAATAATTTGATTAATTCGAGTTATTTTGATCATTTATACACACAATTATTAAACACATATATTTGTATCTAATTGATGGAAACAATAATGCTAATTTTTAAATATTTGTATCAATATTAATTGTGTAAGGAAGTTGGCGTACATAAATATGTGTTTGAATATATATTTGCTTTATAAATTCCGGGTATTAAATCGCAATCTCTTATATTAAGAAATAGCTATAAAATGTCTATCACTGGGTTACCTTCAACAATATTCTCCG